ATTCTGAATTTAACATTTAAAACCTGTGGGATGACCTGATGAGGAAATTCCGTTAGCATAGACCTCTGAATCTGAAGAATGGAGGAATAGTCTCAGATACCTTGTCATGCATTCGTCATTATGCATAGCAGAAGATTCATAGCTGTTACTTTGGGAAAAAAGGGAGATTGAAATATTATAGACACAAATATATTTGGTTAAGAAATAATTGTTAGAAAACTTGATAAAAATGATTAATAGATACATCTTGGGTGATTATTTTGAATAAAAGACCAAGATGATAAAACACACATTTTTCTATACCCTGGTAAAAAAAAGTCAGTTGAAAGTCAGTTCAACTGTCATTATAAAAGAGTTGTTTTGTTTGCTTCATTGCCAGTTCTTTCATTTCAAAATGATTGTTTAATGGAAATCTTATGTCTGTATTACAGATGCAGCACAAGTTTTTACCACGGCAAAACAATTAATAAAACCACAAGTGAAGAAATGCCAGTTTCCTCTCCGTCAAAAAGGAAAACCCCTTTTAAAGGTTAGCAATAAGGTTGGGGCAATTATTAAGTCGGCTTGAAATTCGACTTAATAATTGCTTAAAATAGTTCAACTGACTGAACTACTGCTTAGACGTTTTATTATTATTAGTTAGTTTTCTCAAGCCAAATTACTGAAATGCTCATTAAAATGATTATTATTCTTTTGCTGAGACTAAAATTTCTGACTCTAACTGGTCCTAGGGCTTTCAAGCTAGAAACACCAAACTTGGGTCAGACCTGCAGAAATCTAAACACACCGAAGTCCATTAGACTCATTTAAGCTTCCATACTTTCTAATAACCTATCTATCTATCTATCTATCTATCTATCTATCGTTTGTCTGTCTGTCCATCCAAAAACACTGTTAATGTAGTGTTTTTGGATGGACACTACATAGCTTTCATAACTACTAAACTAAAACTTAAAACTATTGTAAACTTAAAATTAAAAGTATGTCAAAATTTACTTTGATTTTACATTTGATTTACATTTAACATGGAAAATGTAACATGATTTAACAACACTTGGACCAACTTGTTCCAAGATAAAAATGGCTCCCATGGAGTGGAAAACAAGAACTGCTAAAAAACCAGGAAGATATCAAAAAATCATCCTTGAAGAGGCCCCACCACGGATAATTGTCACAGGCACTGAGGGGTATGATGAGCTCCTAAAACTTGGCCAGGAGACATTTTGGTCAGACGCTGAGGGGTATGATGAGCTCCTAAAACTCGGCCAGGAGACATTTTGGTCAGACAAGAGAGAGGGGAGTGTGTTTACTCTCTGCCAAGCAGATGGGACGAGGTGGACGAAGGAACAGTTCCATCAGGAATTTGGATCCGTGGCAGAGATCCCAAACGTCTGGAAGCGAACATTTTACATTGGACGTAGAGAAATGGGTATTGTAATGTTGAAATGACATGGCATGTGTGTGTTATAAACTTGCTCTTGTGCTAATACAGTACCAATTGCATGTTGTATCTACAGATGTAATTTTGCCTTGATGAAAGCAGCTCAATATCACGTATGCACCATAAGTTTTGATAGCACATTTTAAGCCCTGTGTATGTTTTGTAATACATAACAGTTGCTCATTAATTATATTGTTTAGTATGTGTTCCATTTATTTATGTATCACTCCCTTCTTTTCTCAGGAATTGGTGAAAGTGAAGTGGACTCATCTATGGTAACTTCAGTTTACTAATTTATATTTTTAAATAAAGTCTTACTAAAATATTACTGTTGAATATTTGGATGTTTAGATAACACTGATGATCTTGATGGTTGTTTGTAGGATTTCCAACCAAAGAGATCCAGAATTTTAGGAAGATGTACAGACCAAAGTGTAGTGAGGGGCTTAGGTTCAGGCCAGCATGCTGGGAGATCAGAAAGCGCTGATCAAGTTCCCGGTTCAGAAAGATCACTTTACATTCATACATTCATTCATTCAGACAGACAGACAGACAGACAGACAGACAG